ATTAATGAAGTAGATCTTGCAATATTCCTTCTAGTCAATTTTTTTCATTTAAAAAAAAATATGAAAATTACAACAAAAAATTACAAAAATGACTTACTTGTTTAGTTTTATTTCCTGCACAGTAGGAATATTTATGCTCTAAGTGCTTTGGATAATGTTTCCAACTTGTTTTTGCAATTCAGGATGATTTTCAATGACAGAAGTGGAGAACAGAAATATTAGCTCTTTCATTAACTTCTCTTGGTCTTGAATGGATGGAATAAATGTTGCAACTTCAATATCATGGGAGGCATGTTTGTCAGAGCTAGGTACAGATAGAATTACTCTGTCAGTGATGGCATACACATGAAAGAGATGAAGAGAAAGAGTTTTCCTGCCAGATGTTCTACATATTGGAAGAATGTTTTTGTCCCAGTTGTCACCAATGATTTGGTACTTAACATTTCCTCCATCAACCCAGGAATCACGGATTTGTATGATTTCTTTTTCCAGTATTCCCTGTCAGTCACTGAGCTTTCTTTTTAAAGTCAATGGATGGACAGTCAACCCTACATGTGACAGTCTCTCTATGTCCTAGAATGAAAATCATATAGTACTAAGAAGAATGCATCTGGATACTGTATTTAAAAATGTAATATTCCGTTAAGTTTCAATATACAGACTGAGGGTATTAACATACTGGAATGGCAGTCTAATTCTGATATAGTTTTTTGTTTATAAGAAATAAATTAGCTGAAAATATATTATGAATAGTTTTAAACACAAATTCAAAATATACACGCTGAGTACATCCACCATGAGATAACAGAAAACCATTCATGTACTGCAAAACAGCCATCTCTCGACTCCTTCCATGAAGTGCCACACCTACAGTTTGCAGTGCATGAAGAAATGGTTTGCTTCCAATAACAGGTGGCATGTCTGAAACAGTAGCTGTCATAATAGACAATAGTGCTGGACATGTTTTCTCCACTTGTTAGTAGAAATGTTCCCATCGGAAACTGAAAAAAAATCTGCATGGGTTTTATTTTGTAGTAGAGTGCCTGAACCCCTCTTAGAAACTGCCTTACACTCTTCTCGTACAATCTTTTGGGAGCCTCGCACTAATTCCATTGGATTACATTTGAGCAAAATGTTGACCATGGAATTGTCTGTATTTCCACCTCTAGTTATAGCTTTGCAGATCTGTTGCTGGGCAATATTTGATGATTACAGACTTTCTCCCACTTGGAAAGTGCAATACAATCTAGTAGTTTAAATATAGAAATATGAATAGAGATACATTACATATTATCTAATACAAACATACTTTTTGTTTTACCAAAGAAATAAATAATTTTCTTATCTCATTATTGATAAACTAAAAAAAGTTAATATTAATGTAGGATTTATCTTTTTCATAAAAGTACAGTAAATGTACTACATGCCAAATTCTTGAGAAAACAAGTAAGTTGGGACACCCCCTCCCCCCCCCCTCTCTCTCTCTCATATGCAGGTACATGTAAATAATTACTATTGCATGAACAAGTTAGTAAATAAGACCAGTTGAAAACTAATAGCATAGACTAATTCAATGAAAAAAAACCACAAAAAACAATCACTTTTTACTTTTTCAATCGAAAAACTAGTCATGCATATGCGTCAGAACGAGATATCATAAATATTGAGAGCTGTGTGAACATCTACTATGACTATAGTACTGTTAAATAAAAGGAAATAAATTAGCCTGAACAATGTTTTAAATGCTTTTAGCTCACCTCAAACAAGCTAGGGGGAGCTTTAAGTTTGGGACTATTAGTGGTATATCAAAACTTCACATTCCAATAGCAATTGCATTTTTGGGGATTTTTTTTTCTCGTGCAATATAATAAATTTACTGAGTTGAACATTTTAATTTATTTTTTTTGGGGGGGGGGGGGTTCTAAAAAAAATTATGTCATTATAAGTACATGACGTTTGCTTTCATAGCAGAGGTCAAAATTGTTTTATTTTGATAATGAATATATACATGTATATATTAATCAAACATAGTGAGACAAAGGTTATATAAAGATAATTTGAATACACAAAAGAACTACAAAGGAATTTAATGTAACAAGTATTCTGTATTGTACCTACAGACTTAATGTAACTTGAAACAAATCAAAACGCAAGGAAAAGTAAAATAAACAAATTTCAACATTTGTAACATTGTACCTCAACTCTTCCATCAAGAGAGCATTTGTCTGATTTTGGTTTGTTCTCTTTACCAGAGACTAAGGATCTCTTGGAAGATTTTGGAACTGGGTCTGTCTTAATGACATACATATACAAGTATTAAGGTATCATAAGACTGAAAAGACCAGTCAGTACTTTTAATGATTTTAGCCCCTAAAGTAAGCATTATAATATATTTTTAAATTAAAATTTACGGTTTCCCTCAAACTCACCAGCATATTTCTCCTTTGGTGCAATAGAGATAGTATTGCATCTAGGGACCTGTTAACATTGGCAGATGTATGCAGAATCAATACATGAACAACAAATCAAGAGAATAGACAATGTCTATGCTTCTCTCCATTATATAGTGAATGTCATTCTTAACATGTTTAATAATAGTAAATGTATACCCTTACATGTAAAGGCTGTTTTGATGTTTAATCTTGAAGCAACTGAGGAGATTGTTATCCCATGCATATGGTAAAGGGGGCAATGTTTCCTGTAGAGCCAAGAGGCTTTAGTTGAACTGGTGCCACTTTCACAATAGATAACAGCATGGGTGTCTTCTGATGCCTTCAAGCGTTTGTCAATACCTATAACTCATGGACTCCTAATTTCCCTCTTCTTGATGACCGTTTTTGATGGTGAGGGCACCAAAACACTATATCTGAATTTTTTTTTTATAAACTTTACAGTTTAACCTGAACCATATTCTTAACAGGAAATCAAAAATCCTAGTATTGTAGAATTGTTTTAATTGAAAATGATATGATACTTAAATCTAAGCACTGGAAGTTGTTTTCATTTTATATATCATAATTAAGGGTATTAAATGTAATTTTTGGTTTAGCGTAGTACTACAATCATATATTACAGGCCTCATGATGCTCACATAAACGTATGAAGAACAGAACAACGTATTTATGAGATACTGAACAAAATTTCAAGCTTCACTGATCAGCAATACTGGATTGAAAAACTGACCTGGACATCGTTGATCGTATGTTAGTTTGGAATCGATCCCTTGTCTCAACATTCTCTTTTTCTACTTTCAGTACCCTTTCCATGGAACGAAAACATTTCAGACATACACTCATACCGGTCGGAACACTTATCTCCTTGCTCAAATTACATACGTTTTGTAGCGTTTTCATTCGTTCCAGTGTAATTCTTAATTTCTTCTCTAAACATTTATCCACTTTGATGTTTCCAGCTTCATCTACTCTTTGAGTTACGAACGAAAACCCGCAAGCAACACAAATATTTCGAAGCAGGTAAAATTTCATAGGTGTAATGGGCGCCGCCATTATAATCGTTCGTAACTCGATTTCACTGATTTGCCATTCGGAACAACTCTAGATTTATTCAATCAACAAACGACGGTTTGATTGGTTAATAGAATTTGACCTCTGTCGTGACCCTCTAGGGGATGTTGTTAGATGTTAGTGTAGCGAGTATGCGAGCAGATCTAACATCAAATTTTAATTAGATTGGTCACCGGCATACGGTGACGTCTCTATATGAGTGAAAAATTCTCAACTGTTAAACAACATACAATTATTATTACATTTAATGCCATTGTGCACACAGGCTTTCCAATAAAACAGGATGCGATTGTTCACCATTTCAAGGACTGGGTTTTGCCATTTTAAATTCTGTAATTAGCGATTGAACCTATTGGAAATAATGTTAAAACAGACCCTTTAAACTTAATTTAAAAAGCTATTGAAAGCCCTGCAGTTGGCACCATCTATTTTATGTTCTAATAGACAGATAATTGAGGTTTCTCATTTTCAGATAGACGGTGTAAACTTCTTTAATGTGTATAAATCTTTATGTCAACAAACATGCGTATGCCCTTGCCCTAGCGTCATTTTTTCGACGGGCTTCAGCCGATTATAGCAGAGATTTAACTATCTACGCACACAATACGCCCTGCGCTATATATTTTGTTTACTTTGCACTGACAGCTTCAAGTAAGTCTTATATAACATATAACCTACTGAGGAGCGGTATTTGAAGAAACAAACGTTACATTGTGCATAAATATACATTTTTGTTAAAAGCATAAGAATTTCTTTCTTATACATGGGTTTTAAGCAGAGTATTGCACAGAGCTATTTTTACAAGATTTGTGAAAATTCTTGCCCAGTGAGTTGGGGTTTTAGTCTTGTTCAAGTCTATAAATCATGGAGGAAAAATTTTCATTTGATATTGAGAGAAGTTGTGCTTTTTTTTTTAAATCACTGTTAATATATATGTAGATGATAGGTCAACACATTAAAAAATCAAACTTGATTTCTTATTATACAATATAAAAATATCTTTAAAGGTTCTCACTTAGAATTAATCACAATTTCTTCAACTAGATCATTTTGTTTTTATTAGATAATCTAGCATTTGGAAGGAATGTATCTGGCATATTCATTCAATTCAAGACAGCGAATCTGACCGATGGAGATAGAAATAACACATGTGAACGTTTTAGTGGGAATTATTTTCTGTTTCAAATCGAACTTCAAAAGACATACAGCATTGAATCGTCGAGACTAATATTTAAAGGTATCTATTTCAACATCAATATCATGTATATAGTTATATAGAGAGAAAGAGAGATGTAATTACAATGTACATGTATACAGAATTCTGCAGATATATTCATATTTTAAAACGATTTATTGCTTTTTTTCATGATTAGAATAATAAAAAGTAATTTTTTGTATCATATGAATAATATTGAATTAAAAATTGCGAAATAAAAATTCAATGGTTAAATCAACTTTTGGCTAAATATGATTAATATGTATTTTTTTTATGCCGATATAGGAAATTTAACAACGAATGGAACAAATGGTTATTGTTACGACAACACTTATACTTGGCCTTTTTACGAAATTGGTAACTTTAGAACGGAAATTCCACACATAGTAGAGTTTGAGGCTCAACGAACAGCATCGTACCTTTACTTTTATTTATGGGAGCCATATAGCAATACTGTTGAAATCGAATTATGTGAAATAGAAATAACTGGTGAGTTATAGATATTACCCATTGCTTGACTTAACTTCAAGAGAATATTTCGATTGATCTTCAGATTTCTAGGTCATTTTTGTTTTCAGTGCATGAGTAGGCTCTCTTACTGTGTGAACGTTTTTCTGTAGGATGTGAGGTTGACCACTATGGTGAGGACTGTCTGCCTTGTAATAAGTCTGATAATTGTGAAGTATGTGATGTTAACAATGGAGCATGCTATGTCTGCAGAGAAAATTATACAGGACCGGACTGTAGCATAAGTACGTTCCTTTCTACATAGTTGTAATATTTAACGTAAAAAAATATGCAGTATTTTTTTTTTAAATGTCATGTCGCTCGCCTTGCGCAGTGGATAGAGCGTTTGCTCTAGAGTCGCGGAGTAAGGAGTTGATCCTTGCGTCGGGGTTCGAATCCCACTGTGGGACACCGATCCTTCGGATGATGCCGTATAAACCGAGGTCCCATGTTGCAGTAGGTACTGGCATGAAAAGATCCCTCACTGCTCAATGGCACCGAGTATAGGTCAAAATTTGCAGCTCTCCTCTGGCAAGTGATGGCGTCTCCATATGAGTGAAATATTCTCGAGAGAGACATTTAACAACAAACAAACAAGTCTGAATTTGTGATTTTTAATATTTATCAAATTTTAATATAGAAAAAAAAAATCATAAAAACACTTCAAAACAAATTTTAAGGATTAAATATTTTTACACCCGCTCCGAAGGATATACACTGTTTTAGCCTTGTGTGTTCGTCTGTCCGTTTGTGTCACATTTTATCAGCAACTAATCATCGTACTAGATGCTTTAAATTTTATCACGATCTTTCTTTAGGCATGCCTTAGTATGGGATTCATTTTTGTACGAATCGGATGTCAACTTCCTGTTTATCCGTGCGTTTGTCAATACCACATTTTCGTCGCAGTTTCCTCAGCAAATACTCATCGCAGATACTTGAAAGCTTAGCACAGTTTTTGTTTAGGCATGTCATATTGTGGGTTTAATTTTTGTACGAATTCGATGTCAAACTTCTTGTTTATCTCTGCGTCTGTCTTTACCAAATTTTCGTCGCAGTTTTCTCAGCAACTATTCATGTAGATGCTTGAAATTTAGGCATGCCAAATGATGGGCTTCATTAGAACATATTCACATCAGACTGAGGATATTACTAGTGAACATTTGCTCACAGACTTCTTGTTTTATTTATCACCGTATATAATTTGTTTATAACTTTTTTTACATATTCTTTCTCTCAAATAAAATATGAAGATAACGAACAGTATTCAATCTCGAAAGTCCAATTAAACGATAAAAAATTGAAGCAGAGCAAACACAGACCTCAAAATCTAGAGGTGGGATCGAGTGCAATGGAGGAGTGAGCATCCCCTGCCGACCGGTCACACCCACCGTGTGCTCCTTGTCAAGATCGGATAATAAAGGAGAAATCCGTAGACACTGTATAATGATTAATTACTTGTTACATTTACATAAAAAACAACTATAAACAAAACAATAAAAAACAAACTTATAGCAAAGGTTAAAATTTCTCAACTGCAAATCAAATATGCATGTCTCGGGGAATATACCTGTGATATATGAAAGCCCTAGCAGCAACCATTGAATAGATAAGGAAAAGGTTAAAGTTTTTCAAAAGTAAGTCAAACATCAAGGTCAAAATTAATGGGCTTTAGGAAAGGCCTTCTCACAAGAAATATACAGGTGAAATATGAAAGCTGAAGAACCAATCGTTCAAAAGTCATGACCATTGTTAAAGTTTTTTTCAAAAGTAGGTCAAACTCCAAGGTCAATGAATTACAATTGTTGGTATCCAAAGGAAGGTCTTGTCACAAGGAAAAAACGTTAAATATGAAAGTCCTAGCAATAACTTTTCAAAAGTTGTATCCAAGGTTAAATTTTTTCAAAAGTATGTCAAACTCCAAAGTCAAAGGATCAAAGTTGTTGGTATCCAAAGGAAGGTCTTGTCACAAGAATTTCATATGTGAAGTATGAAAGCCCTAGCACCAGCCGTTCAAAAATTATGGCCAATGTTAAAGTTTTTCAAAAGTAGGTCAAACTCCAAGGTCAAAGGGTCAAAGTTGACACAATTAAACATGTGAAATATGAAAGCCCTGGCTCCAACTGTTAAAATGTTATGGCCAAGGTTAAAGTTGGGGAAAATTTTGCAAAACTGGGTCAAACTCCAAGGTCAAGGTCCAATATGGTGGTACCCGAAGAAAGGTCTTGTCACAAGGAATATACATGTGAAACATGAAAGCCATAGTTCCAACCAATCAAAAGTTATGGGCAGTGTTAAAGTTTTTGCGACAAACAGACAGACGGACGGAGAGGGCAAAAACTATACATCCCCGAATCTTCGATAAGGGGGCATAAAAAAATGTTTGTACATAGACGATATTTGGCATTTTAGCTCATAACAAAGCGGATAACAAACACATGACAAATATAAATCGATTACAACTGAACATTGAATTTTTTAGTCGGTTACTAACGTATTGAGAAAAATAGCAAACCGTTTATTTAATTATAGCTTACCCTAACTATCTCTTTTAAAATCCACAAAAAATTAAATGATATCCAAGAGATCCCGAATAGAGAATCCTGTTCAAAGCCAAAGCTAGAGAGAATCGTAAACAAAGCGTGTGGATAAGTGTACAAAACGTTTCGTGCTACCTATTTATGTCTCAGTATTACAGAAATCAATAGAGGTCTATCCAGCATTAGAAGTCTTGACCAAATGGTCCAGAATATCAAAAACCTGGTTTTAAAAATCCCAACTTAATATCCCTTCGCAACAAACTTCGAGGATTTATATAACATAGTAATGCGCTTGTGTTTGTTATATATATATATATATATATATATCTATATCTATATATATATATTGTGTTCACATCGTATAAATAAAATTGAATGAGGGGATAATAAAACATAACACATAGTGCTTTACTTTTTCCAAGTGCAAGTATGGAGTTGTCTGAATTTGGGATTGAAATTCTTGATAACATCACTATAACATTTAGCTAAATATATAGCTTGAATTACTTGTACTTACGTACAATCCCATTTTCGGGTCGTCTCAGTTCTGGTGTATTCGTATATATTTAATGCCACATTGTTTAAATAAAGCACAGAAAAGTTAATACATACACTGGTAAAGATTTTGTTTTGTGTCTCTAATATTTTTGAAAATCAAAAACAGCTTTGCTTAACTTTAATATCTTTATATTTAATCTGAGTAAGTTTGCTTAAAACCCAGAGGGAGAGAGGAATGATTTCAAAGAAAAAATCCACTCTTCGCGATTCTCAAGAGCCCCGCATAAACTCCATAACTCCTGACCCAGTGGAAAATATTAATTTTGAGTGAGGTATCCTTCCTCATCATAGCTATGCACTTATTTTTCTTAATACTCAGGAGCAGAGAAGATAATTTTCGAAGAAATAATGCGTTTTTCTTTATACTCTATAGACTCCCCCCGAACATCCCTCCCCCCCCCCCCCCCGAAAAAGAAAAACAGAACCCTGATCTTAAGGCGACAAATTTCACAATTAAGGAAGAAGAACCCTTGTTCATCAGTACTATGAACTAAGTTTATCTGCTTTTTTGCTAGTTAATCAATAGATCCCCTCCTTAACACCTGATTCCATGACGCATTACGAAGAAATTCATAATTATAAAATTGGTACCCTTGCCCAACATGACCATGCACTTCGGGTGCTTTATACGCAGGAGCAGAAAAGAAGATTTTCAAAAATTATTGTATTTCACTGTATAACATAATCAACAAAGCCCACCCTCACACAAAACTGAACCCCTGATCTTAAGGCCACAAGTCATACAATTCTGAGAGAGCCGTCCTTGCTCATCATAACTATGTACTTACATGTAGTTTATCTGCCAATTATACAGGGGGAGAAAAGATGATTTTTGAAGAATTTATGCATTTTCACTATTATATCATTAAATCACATCTTTAACTCCAGAACCCCTCACCCTAAGGCCATGAATTTCAAAATTTTAATAGAGCCTCAGGGTTTATTGCTTGTTAAAATCAAATTTTCTTGGTGTCTAGAAGAAAAGAAGATTTTTGATGGGTAGCAATGATTTCTTTTTATTGGTTTGAGACCAGAACAGTTTCAGTACCCTTTGAAGTATTGTTAATGAATACAATTAATGTCAAGAATTGGTGAAATTGGTTAAGCTGTTTAAGAGGAGAAACCGAAAATGTTCAAAAAATTACGACCAGCGGAAGACAGACGACGGCTGACAAAAACAGATGCCTTTAGGAATAGGTCATCCGAGTGACCTCAGTGCCATAAAAAAGTGACAATTACTTTATAGTTTTCACATTTCTGTTTGATAACGCTATTTTTTTTTTTTATTTTTTATTTTTCATTTTGTAGATAATGAAAATGTCGCTTTACAAACTGATACTTGGCTATATTACTCGGATTCATTTTTGTACTACATGTATTTACCTTCCCATCGTCTGTTTGATGGTTCTACTACTCAACCCAGTTGCATTGATTTTACCTCTTCCTGGACTGGAAAGACCTATTACTTGGACATGTATACGAATGTTATTCACAACATTAAAGATATACGGTTTTATTTCATCAATAAAGGTACTGATATTTTTTTTATAATGCATGCATTTCATTGATAGTAGCTTACATTAATTGTATAAATTACCATCATGTAGGTACGTGTGACCGTACAAAAAGGCCTGCCTGTGTCCTTTTTTTTTTCTAAACCCAAGATCTGTAGAACGCAGGGGGGTGGGGGGGGGCTTTTCCATATTTTCTGAGTATAGTATTTAGCTTCAGTTAATTTTCCTTAGTATGCTGGTTGCCCCCCCCCCCCCTTTATTGTAGTAAGATCGGGCACTGGCAAATTCAAGGGTTTGGACAGTTTATAGTTTTTTTTTCCTCTTTGGTGAAGATGCCCCCGTTTGAAGCCTTTGCTACGGACCTTTTAATTCTCTAAGACCTTAGAAGAACTGTATATATAAAGATATTTTCAAGTTCCATTGAAGAACATGAACTCTCATTTTTTAAATAAATAAGAGAATCAATTTTATTAATTATGTGATAAGTACCGTATATCACCTACCTACTCATTATTTCTACATGTATCCTAAGTCGGGAGAGGGCCAGGAAACTTTTTTTTTGGTAAGTGGTCTAGTTTGATTCATTATGATGCTCTAAAAGTGAACTATGTGTATCTTTTTATCGGTATTTCTTCAATATTTCAGCATGTAGATCTCAATTCATGAGCATATTTTTATGTTCTCATTTTTCATAACAGGGACATCAGCTGTAAGATTCCAGTATATCATTTGTCGATATTGTTCATCAGAGAATCCACACAGTGGGATAGAAGAGATACCTGCCTCGTCATCATCTGTGATAAAAATCCCCTATCTTAAACAACACTCCTATCTATATTTTTCATTCAATTTCTCTGTTGACCACCTCAAAAAAATGAACAGCTCTTCACTCTCCTTCTGCGAAGTAGAAATTTATGGTAAGTCTTCATTTGTTGAGTCTTAAATGTTTAACCCTGCAATCTAATTGAACGAGTTCTACAAATATTACATGTAAAGGAACTTGCCCATTTATCAACCAAAATGATCTGTACACACTACAATCTGGTTTTTAAATTCCCGAAGGAAAAAAATAGAAGTCATCCAAGGCCTTCAATTTGGCATTTAATATATATTGTCACCATGTGATAATTTCTCATTTTCATTCATACATTGATCTGAGGTAACTTTCTGAATTCGAGATAAAGGTCACAATCCACGGACTCTGAAACATATGCGGCCAGTCTAATCGTGGCTGTGTTATTACATGTATATGTACATGGGAAGGTGGGACGGTATTTTTTTTTATTTGCTTCCAAGGAATAATTTCTTATTGATAAATATTTAAAATAAATAAATAATTTTTGTTTTAAAAAAATGTACTTTAAACTTAGTGTACATAATAGAAATAATGTTTCGTTTTGTTTTTCATTCCTCGAAAGTTAATTTTTAATTTAGGGTTTTATATAAAGTTGTAATGTGAACTGCTCCCAGACATACGCATGCTTAAGATATAATGATATTTATTTCAGTGTCTAAACTAATTATAATATAAAGAAAAGAAAAAGATGTTAATTTCATTTTCACTAAATAGCAGTTGGAAATGACAACATATTTTTTCTGTAATTTTCATTTATTATGATACATATCTATCAAAATACTGATTGGAAATATCACATGCCAAAGATCTAGGGTATCAGCATGTGATGTTTGCAAGTTCCCTTTTGAGCATTTAGACATAAATTAGATAAATTAATACCTTTAGATTTTTGTTGCATTTTTCTTTCCATCAGATAATTGATGATGATACAATTCTACGCAGATTCAATATATCCCCTTTAAATCGAAATTAAAGATACCAAAGAGTCTAACACATCTGTTTCATATTTGGATAGTTTTGTCTTAAAAAAAAGACTTTTATGGTAAATTACAAACAAAACCTGTTGAATCGATGAGTAAGAACGCACTCTACCTCGAACTAATTCTTAAACGAGGTATTATATTGACTAACAAGTTGACAAAACATGGATATCAACAGTCTCGTTTAGTGTCAACAATTTGTAAACTCTTTTGTCGATACAAAGACTTTTTCAGCAATAACAATTTATCGTTAAGTCGACTGCTGATTGATGTTTTTCGAAACAAATCATTAGTTCATTATTTACGCATTGAATTGTCTATGAATTTTTCCGTTTGCCAAGGAGGACACGGCGGGTTTAGCCGACAGAAGATGGCATAAATTAGATAAATTAATACCTTTAGATTTTTGTTGCATTTGTCTTTCCATCAGATAATTGATGATGATACAATTCTACGCAGATTCAATATATCCCCTTTAAGTCTAAAGGTATTAATTTATCTAATTTATGTCTCCTCCATGGCACCTGACCCCACCTCTGATGTTTTAAAGGTCCGTGTTTGCTCTGGTGTAAATTTTATTGTTTCATTGTACTTTCGTGCTTGATTACTGTTCGTTACATTCATTTATCATCATTTACCTGCGATATTCTTATCCTTTAATTTATATATCTTGATTAATATGTAACAATTGATCACTGAAAATTAAAGTATTAAAAATTGCACGGAAAAGTCAGTCAATTATACAGTTTTGCAATCAAAATGTATCAAATACTTTTTCTACTTTGAATTCTTTCTTTGGACTTTTTCTTGTGGAAATACATGAACTTTAAAATGCATAATATATTTTTGCAGCCGATAGCTTTGCATCAATTTAATTTGTAAGAATATTTTACTAAATGAAAAAGTATATGGCATAAAAAATGGTTATATTTATGCTAAATGTTATGAATTTTCTTTTTATAACCTCATGTAGTTTTTTCATAATCAATGAGGTTACTGTAAAAATGTTGATGTTACATAGGTATCAGCAACATCGTTTATAGTCAACAGATCCGAACTTTAATGTAATGGTCGGTTCAATGGCATTGATTACAAATGTGACTGGCATTTCTAGTATTGATTATTAGACGATTGTTTTCATACCGATTTCTCTACGGATAAAATCATTTAATGATCAAGACAAAGGACTCAAAACAGCGTAACCAGTCGATAGGGGATACTAACTCTTCCCGTGTCCTGATCCCTACTATGGTGTTTCCAACGGTCTTTGTTTTCTTTGCTATCATATTTGTTACTTTGGAATTTAAAGCTTGATTTTCGCTCGTTACATTCCTAACCCCTGTTATGCAATGGAAGTAGTCGAGCTATCATAAACTCAACTCTTTTCAAATTGAATCTTAAATAGAAAAGCATGAGTATATCATTTTATATTCACAATAATGCCTAAGAGCATATGATGTTATAACATATTTAAACAACAAAAGGAGTACACAAGATCAATATCTTAAGTGTTCAATGGTCATAAAAAAAAAAGATTTTGCATACTGAAAAAAGGTATATCTCAATTACTCACTTCATAGTCGATATTTTCATAAGTTCCGTTAAAATAAAAATAGTCCATCTGAGAATACATCTTATCGTTGACTCTATAACTAAGCTGATGTTGTTCATACTAGATGTTTTCATGGTACATTTTACCACGAATACCTTCAATACAGGAGACTTACGTTTTTAAACTGTCAGCAGGGGATTCTAACGCGTACTGACCAGGAAGTCTCTATGTGTATTGCAAATACGAAACAGATTACTGTTGATTATCTCCACGAGTTTTTTTTTTTCGGTGAATTTATTTTTTGACATTTTTGTTCTAAAAGGATGCCCTAGAAATCATTATGGTAGCCCATGTAGACCATGCTTTTCAAATTGTGACGAATGTAACGCTATTGACGGATCTTGTATATGCCAAGCTGGGTATACCGGTACAAACTGCACAGAAGGTAAATATTCAATCTTTAACTTATTTCTGCCTTTGGTCTTTTAAAGAAATGTAATAAATGCTATTTTAGGCGATACACGTGTTATAATGTTATTTTATTTCTTTTCATTTTAAATTTACATAAACTATTGAAGAGTGTTCGAATAGCACATATGGTGATAATTGTGTTTACGAGTGTGGACATTGTTTTAATGAAACTTGTCATCACGTCACCGGGAATTGTTTACTTGGTTGTAATAATGGTTGGACATCAAGCAGGTGCAATCAAGGTTAGTGTTTAAACATAAGCTATTAAAAATGAATTATTCCATCTTTACATGAAAAAAAAAAAGGGGGGGTGGCACCGACTCACAATCGCGAATATGTTTTCGTCACAAACTCGTCTGTCTCTTTTGAAAATGAGTAGGAAATAGACAGAATTACAAGCTTGTTCGCTTAAAGCAACTGAGAATATTGCAAGCTTTACTTGGTTTTATATCCATATGTATGATTGTACAAAAGGATCCACATTTTTTTTATTTAGAAGTTTACATGCATCTTCATGATTATATACTAACTTAAGTATTTCACGTAAATAAATTACTACAAATAAAGAACAGAGTTTTAAGGACAGATGATAGAAACAAATTTTCATGAAAACATTTGAAAATAACAACTTGAGTCATGTTTATATAAGTAAAATGAACAACTTTTACCGCGTAGTTTCCAATTTTTCATTCAAAGTTTCATAGTATAGGAATTTGAAGTGACAACAAATTGTTTAGATTAATAAGGATGGTTGCAAAAAGGTAGAATCTGAACATGATAGAAGGTGTACAATTTCTGAAATTTTAAAAATTAAATATTTGCATCATTTGAAACAAAAATAGCCCCAAAAATATATACCAATCGCTAGGCATTCATTTTTTCTGTTAGTATCATCTATCCTTAATAAGGAAATATGTGTATGTGTTTAAACGTCCAGATCTTTTAAAAAATATATATGTCCTGAATATAATATATGTAAACTGGTATAATGCTATTGGACATTTTCAACACTCCATTTATCATTATGAATTAAATCATTAAGACAAGAAGAATTAGACAGACACAGATCTGTCTTTGCAATAAATAAAGGTAGGATTTTCATCTTCTAATTCAGCCTGCACACCTGGTTGGTATGGACGTGATTGTTCACAGCGATGTAGCAGTCACTGCTTAACACCGTACGTGTGCGACCGATTTAACGGATCTTGTATTGGCGGATGTGCTACTGGGTGGACTACTGATGCCTGTGACAAAGGTTTGTTGTTTAGATGCTTATTTTAACTAACTCTATATTTCTCCATTTTTTTAAAATTATTATTATTATTATTATACATGTACAAAAGGTTATTTATTTTATTCACAGTTGACACGGAATATTGTAAGTATAATTTTCTTATCTCTAATCGGCCTACTGTAGCCTTTCTTTTTGATTTTTTTAAAGCTTCTTTTGACATATTGCTTTTTGTACTCTTCCATCCAAAAAAGGTGTTGATTGGGTACCATCAGCTGTTTCCGTTTTGTACCATAATATGACATGGAAAAAAGAAATATTAAATCATCTAATCAGATTTGACCCCGCTGTGGCCCTTCTCTGCAACTTTAGTTTGAAAACCGATGAAGAACTTTTTTACGACGTTACTTGGTTTATTGATGGACAAGAAGTTTTACATCAGACAGTTGATGAAACCAGTAATTACACTGCTGTGATAACAGCTCATGATATGATGAGAGCCGAGAAAAAGATAGGGTCTCACGTAAGCTAATTTTTTTAATCATTAAAACTATGATGTTTGGAATATTGGGAATATTGCTTAAAACATCTGAATGTAAAGTTAACCTTATCAAATTGTTTTCAGTTAGAAATCATTTTAAAACATGTGTTTTTGAAGTCAATTCCTTTAAATTGTAAGAGAACAAATGCTTGCATTAATATACATGTATGTCAAAAAAGCGTAAACAAACAAATATGAGTAATTGTGATTAAATTTTCCACAAAATTTGTTTCTTTCGTAAGGTACACTGCAAAGTTGGTGCAAAACGAAAACAAGCAAACAGTCCATGTCTTTTCAAAGTTGGAAATTCATTCTTTGCTGGAATTAAGGTACTATCATAATAAATAACTCAGATTAATGCCTGTTAAGACAGTTTAAAGAATAGTACTCAGTTCTCAGTTTGAAATTTAAAGACTCTGTAATTTTAAAATGCAATTTGCTAACTATTTTCCTTGGATTTTATTAAACCTTTTCCTAAAAGTTATACATTTGGTAAAAAATTGAATTACACTTAAATACATTTTTTAAGATTCTCAATCCAAGTATTGAGTTGGAGAGAAAAGGATCCAAGAATGTCGAATTAGAGATGACAATACCATTTGCCTCTGAATCGCTTTATATTAATGGAGTTCCACAACCAGTTAGCGACCTGAACATTCATATGACCTTCAAAACAGACGATTCCTCTAAATGTAGTGGTGGAGGATCATCTAATCAGTGCGTAGTTAAAGTAAAGAGCTATAGCTACAACGAGAGACACAAGTACGAAAACGGCGAATGGAGACAAAATATTTCATTTCCGGTTTATAGCCAGGATACGGATGGTTACGTCATCAATAGTCACATGACCCTTAACTTAAAGACAGGCGGTACTAACGGGGTTGGCAGTAAATTATTTGAGCATGTGTCCTTGCCTGATATCTCGGTATATTGTTACATATAATAATATAATTTATACATTTAAAAAGAAAGTCAATTGACGTCGCGCAGAGAACTGGGGCCCATTTTGTAACGTCAAAATAGTGTCATTAAAACGCTTGAAGTTTACGTCCATGTGAGAGTACTGAAACATCCCTATCAGAAATGTTGACTTTTACTTACATGTACGAGAATCTTTTTTTTTTTGATTATCTTGTCTTCTTTCATTCTCTTTTTTCTTCTTTTTTCACTAATTAATATTTTATTCTGCTGATGATAAGATTTGTATTTCCCTTAAAAATGGCAAGTTTGCAAGTAAAACAGTTTACTGTATTTTTGACGTTACGTTTTCAAATAAGACTAGACATCCAATTTTTGCTTCTTTTTTTTTTTTTTAGGTTTAACTTCTTTCTATTTTTTGATATAAAATTTTATTCATTTGCACATTTCGAAAACAAGATTTTTATGGATAACAAGTATTCCTCTTAAAAAAGAAAAGAGCTCATATCTGTGATATACGTCTTGTAAAATATCATAATACGCTTATTTATGACATAGCAACAAAACCGACTAGGCATCAAAATTACTCTACTATTTCTTCAAATACTTGCTTATATCTATTTAAAGAAACATGTGTCTACATGTACTTCTTGATTTGCACATTTTATATCTTCTTTTAGTTTTACCAAAAGAACTTATTATATGGGAAAAAATCTTTACCAAACATTCCATCTCTCCTTGTTACTTGTCAAAATCACGGGATATTACGGGATGCTATTATTTTTACGAACAGCTAGTCCGAATCGGCCAGTATTGGAAACTTATTAATGAATTTTGTATGAAATCATCACAGGACATAATAGAAGCTTTGTGCAAATTGGAGAAAAGTTCCATGTGGTCAAAACGAAAAAATGACTAAAAACTACTAGCGCCCGTCTTTTAGTGTTACTTTAAGTTACCCAATTACGTTACTCTATACTATGCACGACGTTCTCGACGAATAAAATATTTAAAATACATGAATGAAAAATAATGTAAGTGATTATATAATAGTCTCTGTGTGCTTCTCATATGTATTAATCTTGCCTTTATTCTATAGAAAATATCTTCACTGTAAAAAAAAAGTACCTAACTTTACATGTTAACTGATTTGCTATCTTTTCTTTTTTACGATACTCATAATTGTTTTATAATGAAACAGATAAGTGTTCGAGAAGGAAATGAACAATGGAAAGGAAGATCGTGTGGTGTTAGAGCGGATCCACATATGTATACTTTTGACGGAAAGTAAGAAAATATGGGAATAGTTCGCACAGTGCATTGCGTATGACTTACAATCTTCCTAAAATATATTCAGAAATATAAACCTTTATGGGTGTATTATCAAGAGCAGCATTACATATACAGTAAAACTTGTCTAAACCGGTGATTTAACTGTCATATTTCCTTAGTAGTTTGCTACATAATATTTTACTATTATTATTATTTAATATCAAATATGCATGTTAGTCCGAAATCCTTTAATTTGAAGGTTGTCTAGTGAAAAACTTTGCCCAATTTATAGATGACATTCTTAACATTTTCTTCAAATCTTTGATACCCAGTTATCGTTATTTAACGTATTTCAGAATAATTGTTCGTTACAAAGGGAAAAAGTCAATAAATCTTGTAATGTAACAAGAGATGTGCTTACCTTGTTTGTACATGTTATCTATGTGTTCTCCCTACAGATCATACGAGTGTCAGATACCTGGAGAATTTATAAATTATCGAAATCAGCATCAACTACAATGGGTAAGGCTGATCAAACAAAAAGCCCCGGGCCACATTTTACAAAAGAACTTACGACTAAGTCCAAGAACTTGCGCTTAATGTAAAATCTTGCAAAGTTTAGTTTTTTTTAATATTTACTTATATACAAAAACATCTTAAACAGGTTTGGCACAGTTCCTTCTTTTCTCAGTAACTGTTACGCTAAAAGGGAAATTGTTCCTCTTTTCAGTAATTAAAAAACATTACTGTAAACGGGAATTTTCGTCATATTTTTTAAATAATGCCCCAAATCCGTGTGTTAAATAAAAAGTGCACGAAAAATACGATGTAATGTGTTTAAACATTATTAAACCAACCTCGTTGACAAAAAATGTCAGTTCTTTAGTGCTGCAGACGGGAGTAAGATGAGATTTAATCGTACGAAATCATGAGTATTTTTCCAACGGATGTGAATATTTCCATTACAAGTATATTATTACTAGTTCAAACACGGAAAATTTCATAGCTTGGTTTCGTTGAGGTGACATATTTTGAACATGTATTGGAATTTAAACTCACATGCATGCAGCAGTAATCCACGACTTCCACTTAAATTCCCCCTGTTGATAAATGATACGAAAAGTATGGAATTTTACAAGGTCTTTAATTCACAAACCATCTTTTATTGACTATCTTTTAAAATTTAATATTTCATCTAACTATTTCATCTGTAAAAGAAGCAGTGGTATTAAAAATTGTTTTTACTATGTCTTTGAAAGAAAAGTTCATAGAATTTAATTAGAACGAATAATTTCATGTACGAGTTAGCAATTGCTAACACAGATTAGCTTCCGTAAGAAATCTATATAGTAGAAATATTTCATCACTCTTTTTCAGCTTTTTGCTGAATTATTGTAGTTTTAAGCATATATACACTTAATAGACTATAAATATTGAGAGGATGTGAAAATATTCTTGCACTTAATCTTTTACTCAAGGCAAACACAAGAACAGAGGGTAAACGAGTGAAAATTCCCGTATACAGTGATGTTTTTTTTATTACTGAAAAGAGGAAAAATTCCCTTTTAGCGTAACAATTACGGAAAAAAAGGAACTGTGCCCAACCTGTTAAAACTCTTTATAAAAATTATAAATACCAATTTTAATAAATATAGGAAGAAAACTATTCGCTAAATTACATTTTGGTCTTAGTCGTAATTTCGTCTGTAAAACGGGCCATGATCTGTCCTATTTTAAAGAAAGCGCCTTAATGAATTTATATAGGTAATCCAAAAATCAATATAAAGCCTAAAGGATAGAAATGTTCATAAAAAGTAATATAGTACATGTATAAATATGAATTTTAACATTGAAATTTTAGATTCAATCCAAACACCACTTATGTTTCCCGTCGTATGATGGACCTTGGTGCGTCTGCGCAGTGGCAGCAAGAGCAGGAAGAGATGTCTTTGTCATAGATTTGTGTGGAGAAAATAAAATCATCAGTTATGAACTTTGCGAGGACAATGTTTTGAAAGTCACGAAAATCCACGACAAATACTATAAGGTCAGCTACTTATACATAAAACTACAGAGATAAATGGTTGGTTGAAACACCATTTCAATTCTCAAAACTTAAAAGAAAAATAATTAAAGTCCGCTAGGATTTCATTTCATTTATCAACAAATCGTATTTTTAAATACATTGGAATTTTTTAAAAGTCTACTAATAAATTCAGAATTTTATCACAAAATTTTCAGGAGGTGAAGTAACGTTCGCCCTGATTTAACAATTTTGTGTCGAAGTGCACAACTAACATGACTTTCAATTATATACAACAGGACTGAATTTAAAGTTAAGAAAATTAGACATATTGATTTAGTAGTCAGCCATTTTGTATCATTCTATTTATACGGCATCTTCAGATATATTTCCCCACTGGTACTTCACTCGCCATATATATAATGGAATGGAACAGACATTATATCATTGATCTTGAAATTCTACCCTCTGCTATGGATGTAGGGAATGCCGATGGTTTATGTGGATATTTTGATGGTGTGATGGAAAACGACTTCAGAAGGCGAAACAGTACTATTATAGATGACATCGGTCTGAGTTATCCTAATGACTTCTCCGAGTCATGGAAGTAATTATTCATAATTACATTTACAAAAAAATTTCTTTAACGTCAAACTATACATAAACATTCGATTTAAAATAACAATTTCAACCATGTTTTTGCACGTAGGATTCGAGACAACGAAAATCTCTTCAGCGGTGACTCTTTAGTCTACAGCAGTTTGCAATCTGTGTCGACCATTCTTGTTCCTCATTGTACATGCACTGAGAGCGGGAAAACCCAATGCTCCTACAACACGTTCACACCTTGCAACTCAAACCGAGGCAAACAGTATGAATGTAATGTAGACCTTGTACAAAACAGAAGACGAAAACGGGATGTGTCCAATATGTTTATGGAGAGGGATCCTTTAATCGTATGCTATAACTCGTACAGTCTTCTCCATTTTAAAATAATTTTAACTTATCAAACTACTGAAAATTTCTAGATTGATTTGTATGCATAAAAATATTGATCCTGAAATTTGCAAACCTAGAATTAATAAGGAACAATCTCTAATGAATACACGATGACAGTTTCATCTTGGCGATAGTTTTTTTTTTAAATTAACAATTTCAGAGAAAGAAACGCACGGTTTCCTACGTACGGACGACTGAATACTCCGAGAGCGTTTGTCTACAGGCTTTTGAAAATTCACCTGAATACAACACGTGTCAACAACATGTGACCGACCTTAGTAATGTAACCTTATCCAACTGCATTGAAGACATAAGAGTAGGTTAATTACAAGTTAGAACAATGTACGGCACGTTAGGCATATACTGCAGTATCTCATGTTCTAGTGCATATATCAATTAATTTGTACTGAAAAAGTGGCCCAATTTTGCTTAAAAGTCTTTTGAATTGAACAAATTCAATGCTAAAATCTGTTTTCAGATGACAGGCGATGAGAACCTAACGAACATTCACGTCGAAGCCGCTCTACAGCAATGTTCCACGTTTGTTCTTTTAAATGCCACATTGCAAGAGACAGAACCGGAAGTAACCTATGCAATACAAAACCTCTGTCCAAGCAACTGTACCGGACATGGAACTTGTGATGGGGGTAGGCTGTTCATTGTATCATACGATGTTAGGAAACTATCTTGCTAATCTTTTGATTTGAAAATAAAGAATCTGCAAAATCAAAGAGATAAATATGAGATAAAATAAATTAAATAGCTTTATTACAAGTATTTCTCAAAATTTTAAATATAAATTACAAGAAATTTTATAAGATCTCTGATGTCTGTTTTATCATTATCAGTCCAAGAATATCGTTTTTTGCCATCGTCTTACATGTACATGTAGACTTAATGTTTAGTCATTCATCATCTTTATTACAAGGAAACTGTACATGTGATAGTGGCTTTGGGGGGAGCGACTGCTCCTTTGATTTAATCGGACCTCCTACAATAACAAGTGTTCCCAGTGCTGGTCTTTGTGATCTCTCTACTACAACCTGTAAAGAGGCCACCATCTTGGGAAAATATTTCTTTGAAAACATGGACTCGATATGTTATCTTACCGTAAAACAAGTACATCTGAATTGTCATTTGTAAAAATAAAGTTAGCTCAATCAGTAAATGGCTCGCTTTGTGATTCGATTGATTGATTGCATGTTTTCTTACGTCCCATTCTATAATTTTTCACTTAGGCCAACATTTTTTTATTTTCTGTTTTACAGGAACTTTTTTCAAAAATTTGAGTCGGGGGGTCGAAATAAAAATAAAAATAAAAGCTCGAAATTTAAGCAGTCGGTCAGAAAAATAAAAATGAAATGAAAAAATGCAATAAATTTTTTTATTTTTAATTAAGGTTGGAATTTTATTTGTATGACCTTAATTTGTTAGAAAAACGGTGCTATTTGAAAAACTTATGTACACAAAACACAGAATTGGTACTGTTAATGGATCAATGAACTATTTTAAATTTAACCTTCTCTTAGATATTTGGGGCAGGGGTGCATTTCTAGTATAAAGCTTGCAGTTTCTAACATTAATGCAAATCAAACATACAAATCTATAGTCTTTTCTCAGTTGTCATATATCATATTGTCACCACAGTAAACCTATAGGACTTCTGTCACACCCCTCATAAACTTTTCAGAATCTTTTATTTTTTGGTATTCAGCAAATTACAAGATCTGTGGATTTTGGACTAGTTCTGGCAAAGTTATGGAGAAAATACAGTGAGACATTCAATGGATCAGCTAAAATAAATTAATTCACAGAAGTGCACATGAGACATGAAAAAAAGAAAAGTTGTATAATATTTTTTTTTCAACGCACTTCCAATTAATATATACGTAGGTGGAAAAAACGTACCACAATATCTCTATTTAAAACATATTCAAACTTCCTCAATCTGTAGTATATATATCTTTTTATCCTTATGTTTTCTTTCTGAGCATGCTAACTTTCAATATAATTGTAGAAAATACACATCTTTCCCATAGTATACACATGTAAAATACACATGACAATATTCTGTTTACTGCAGAATTTAAAAATTTAATTGTTGAAAATGGTTCTAATCCACAACTGTTGAATGAAAAAAGAAACCAGGTCTTGAATTAAAATAATATTTGTAAGGGCGTATCATTTACAATACTTTTCCCTAGTGGTAAAAAAAGTTGTTTTACTAAACAAGAGCTATACATATACACTACATCAGCTGATATGAATACGCTGAACAATCAATGTACATTAATTTGTTACATAGCACGCAAAATTCCATAAAGCGACAAAAAAGGAGATAATGTCTTGTATCAATCAAGCATATATACTGATATATCTTCGTAGGTAATTCTGAATTCCAATATTTGTCATAAAACGAGTGAAAGTTGTGACTCGAATTTCCTCAGTCACGCCACTTTCTACCAGTTCTACATAGTTCTAGTGTTCTGTCGTTACTTGTAAAAGAAAACATTCCTGTCTTAAAATTAAGTTTAAAAAATCTTCAAGACGTATTTCAATGTATTGAAGCAATTGTCAAAGATAATACGTATTCAAAACCTTTCAAAACAAGCGGTTGACAGAACCTCGATTTCCACGTGGCCCTCCGCATGACATTTGATCAAGATCACTGATTCGTCTATTTCATTCAATCTTTCATTAAAATTTATACTTTTTAAGCTCACCTGAGCTGAAAGCTCAAGTGAGCTTTTCTGATCACATTTTGTCCGGCGTCCGTCTGTCTGTCTGTCCGTCTGTCTGTCTGTAAACTTTTCACATTTTCGACTTCTTCTCAAGAACCACTGGGCCTATTTCTACCAAACTTGCCACAAAGTATCCTTGGGTAAAGGGGATTCAAGTTTGTTCAAATGAAGGGCCACGCCCTCTTTCAAGGGGAGATAATAAGGGTTTAGTGAAAAAATAATGGCATCATTTAAAAATCTTCTTCTCAAGAACCGTAGGACCAGGAAAGATGAAACTCATGTGGTAGTGTAGATTCAAGTTTGTTCAAATCATGACCCCCGGGGGTAGGGCGGGGCCACAATGGAGGATCAAAGTTTTACATAGAAATATATAGGAAAAATCTTTAAAAATCTTCTTCTCAAGAACAGCAAAGCCATGATGAGCCATATTTATATGGAAGCATCCTCAGGTAGTGTAGATTCAAGTTTGTTCAAATCATGACCCCAGGGGGTAGGGCAGGGCCACAATGGAGGATCAAAGTTTTACATAGAAATATATAGGAAAAATCTTTAAAAATCTTCTTCTTAAGAACAACAAAGTCATGATGAGTCATATTTATATGGAAGCATCCTCAGGTAGTGTAGATTCAAGTTTGTTCAAATCATGACCCCCGGGGGTAGGGCGGGCCACAATGGAGGATCAAAGTTTTACATAGAAATATATAGGAAAAATCTTTAAAAATCTTCTTGTCAAGAACAGCAAAGCCATGATGAGTCATATTTATATGGAAGCATCCTCAGGTAGTGTAGATTCAAGATTATTCAAATCATGACCCCCGGGGGTAGGGCAGGGCCACAATGGAGGATCAAAGTTTTACATAGAAATATATATGAAAAATCTTTAAAAATCTTCTTCTCAAGAACAGCAAAGCCATGATGAGCCATATTTATATGGAAGCATCCTCAGGTAGTGTAGATTCAAGTTTGTTCAAATCATGACCCCCGGGGGTAGGGCGGGGCTGCAATGGACTATCAAAGTTGTACATAGAAATATATAGGAAAAATCTTCTTCTCAGGAACAGCAAAGCCCAGATGGTATATATTTATATGGAAGCATCCACAGGTAGTGTAGATTCAAATTTATTCAAATCATGACCCCCGGGGGTAGGGTGGGGCCACAATGAAGGATCAAAGTTTTACATAGAAATATATAGGAAAAATTTTAAAAATCTTCTTCTCAGGAACAGCAAAGCCCTGATTGATGTATTATTATGTGGAAGCATCCTCAGGTAGTGTAGATTCTATTTTATTCAAATCATGGCCCCCATGGGTAGGATGGGGCCACAATGGAAGATCAAAGTTTTAAATAGAAATGAAAAGGAAAATATCTTCTGAAGAACTGCAAACCATGATTAGTCATTTTGATATGGAAACATATAGAAAAAATATTTTCTTCCCAAGAACAGGAAAGCTATGTTTAGTCATACTGATATGGAAGCATCCTCAGGTAGTGTAGATTCAAGTTCAAATGATGACCCCTGGGATAGGGAGGAGCCACAATGGGGGATCAAATTTTTACACAGGAATATATGGGAATTTTTTTTAAAAATCTTCTCAAGAACAACAAAGCCATTTTGTTATATTGACATGGAAGCATCAGGTAGTTTAAAATTCAAGCCCCCCCCCCCCCTTCCCGGTAATCTTTTCAATACTGAACTGATTTGTGCTTTTGCCCAGCCAATGTGCTCAGGTGAGCGATGTGGCCCATGGGCCTCTTGTCTAATATATAACATTGACACGTCACTTTTTTGAACTGACTATTTAAAAACACGTGAAACCCTCCGATTCTGACATTTTTGGCGCTGTGCTGTGCAGTGACTCTTCACGCAACGAATACTGTGATTGGATGAATCTATTTACCTCAGCCAATGACAAATCGCATTTTGAAAGGCTTGTAAAAAGGTTATTTATATTTCTTTTATTTTTTCAGAGACTATAAATAAACTATCTTCGGGAGAAATAAAAATAAAACTTGAATTGGGGACTTTTATTTTTATTTCATTTTAGCCCAAATTAGGGTCGGCGCTCCCGTAAAACAGAATATAAAAAAAAATTGGCCTTATATAGAGACGTCATCATATACAGGTGAAGGGCTTCAAATTAAAACCTCTACTCGGCACTCAGGGCCATTATTTAAGCAGTAAGTGTTCTTTATCGTGCCATCGCCTACCATGAAACGGGCCTCGGTTTTATAAGGTCTTATCCGAAGGACCCGCAACTTTCACTCCGAAGTGCCGAGCGCTTGACGAAGGAACAGTTGCTACCTATTTTTTTTTATCGACTTACGTCAGTCGAGACCGTGATTCGAACACACATCCTTCCGATCACGGACCAAGCGCTCTACCGACTGAGCTACCGATACTGTAGTCTTTGTGATTCGAAGGTTGTGAGCTCAAGCCCCAGGCAGCGACAGACCTAAGATGATGAGAAAAGGTTTCATTCCTCAAATGTTCGGTTCCTTGAATTAAAAGTTGCAGGTCTTTTGAATGCAACCTTTAAGTACAAGGACCCTGTGTTACGATAATGGGTGGCACGATGATGATTCCTCACTGCTCAATTGCCAAGTAAGTCTAAATTTAAGGATCTTTACCGGTATATGATGACGTCTTCATACGAGTTAAAAATTGTCGAATGGGACGTAAAATAACACGCAGTCAATCCATCAGTGTTGATATGCTTGTTCATTTGACAATGCTTTGACATAGTTTTTTTTTTCATCAATATGAAATATATTTTCTTAGAGCAATATTAACAAAACAGAACAAAGTGAGCACAAGAGACAGATGACTTTACAAGAGAGAACCTTATTTGAGGGATTCTGTCCGCTTCCGTATGACACATCTGGTATCTGGACGACTGAAATCAAGTTTAACATTTCAAATGACGGAGTACGTTTCACAGACACGTATCAAGTTATTATATATCAGTCCCATTGTCAGGAGTACCACAATGAATCCGGAAATGTGTATTTCATCTTAAAGGTAAGTGGTGCTCTCTTTCTAAACGTGTTCGGAGTACATTTTTATGTTTACCAAGTGTTTTGTGATTGACCTGTAACGATATAATGTATATACATAAACATCCTGTGAATCTCTCGAATAACACCTGTCTGTCAAATGAATTTCAAAAATCTGCTTTTACTTTTTCCATATTTCCCTTTAAAAAAATATAGATCTAAGTACTTGAAAATTCATGTATGTCTTGCATGCATGTACGCTTACCGTAAGAGCTTTGAATTCTTTAAAGTTGAACACGACTCTTAAATAAGCATACGCCATATTTGATTTTACTATCTATGATATCAGCACTGGGGCATATCCTTCGCATTCGTAACACCTGCCTGCTTCATTGTCACGTGGAATGGCGACATGTGTTTGCGTTAGTTGTCTTGCATTGCCTTTGCATACATTTTATTGCAGTTACGTGTATTTGGGTTTGTTTGTATACTGCACTTACCTGTGCAACGGTTGTAAGTTTCTTTGGTATCGTTTTTTTTTACCGTGCAAAGTTATTTTCGTTGCTACCGAGTGCTATGTAGAATACGTCTGTCTACACAAACGACAACTGATTACACTAAACAGTGACTAAATGAACGGCTTACATGGGGACCTCAGATAAAAGATATGGCGGACAAATTCATTTTACGAATCGTGTTTAGCTTTTAAGCAGGATAAATCTCATTTTCATATATTATTTACAGGAACATTTCTGTTTCATCGACAGTAAATGCATTAGTTCCATGCAGAATAGTTCCATCAATGAGTGTCTATACTGCAATACAACAAATGATAAATTCAACTGGACAGAAAATGAATGTAAGACTTATTAGCATACTATGTTCTTATTTCCTTTTGATTGATTGACTGTATGTAGTTTAATGTTCCATTTGAGAATTTTCACCCATATGGAAACGTCACCATATACTTGTGAAGGGCTTCGAATTTAGACCTTTACTCGACACTCAGGGCCATTGAGCAGTGAGAGATCTTTATCGTGCCAACGTCTGCCGTGAAACGGGGCCTCGGTTTTTAAGGTCTCATCAGAAAGACCCACAACTTTTAAGTGCCGAGCACCTGGCGAAGGAACAGTTGCTACCTATTTTCATAACGACTTAGGTCAGTTGCGGCCTTCGATCACGGAGCGAGCGCTCTACCGTCTGAGCTATCGTGACGGCATTATTTCCTTTTGATTTGGATCGAGATGAATGTGATTTTCTTCCAAAAATAATTGACAGTAATACAGTTAAGCATGGTAATATGTAAAAAAAATCGGTTGCCCCTTCCCGACCAACTGCATTAAAATGGACCAAATCAATACTTTTTAACTCCACAACACAATTATTTTTTACGTATTCCGGAAAATAGATTTTGAAAATTCAGAACCGATGTTGAAAAAAATACCACCACCAATCTAACGATCTAATTTTTTATCGTAAGTCGGGAGAGGGCAAACATAGTTTTAAAGTTGGCCTAATATAAATATTTTTATCTACGTAGCCTGTGGACAAACAACAACAGAAAGTATGACAACAACAATGATTCATACAGACACAGAATCCACATTGAGGAGCTCAACAGAACAAATAGAAGAGACTACAGCTTCTATTACGACAGCTGCACAGGACAAAACAACATATACCAAAGCAACCTCTCCAATCACAACTACAGAAAACGAACATACATCTATGGTGTCCGATTCTTCTTCTATTGGATCGACAATAACAACAAGTTTTGCTGACACAATAAGTGACTCAGCAGAGATGCCGGAGGATACATCAACCACAACTGCTGACACAACTACAGTGATATCATCAACCGATTCAACATCAACAACAATAGCATCGACGACACTGGAAACAACACCAGCACTCACTACAAACTCGCCAACTACAACAAACAAAGAAACAACAACTGCAAGCTTAACAACAACTCAACCAATCACATCGTCATCAACTACAAAACCGACTTCTACAGGGAAAATGACAACTACAAGTAACACAGAAGCATTGACTTCCTCTCAATCATCAACTTCCGAATCATCAACAACATCGGTAATAAGTACTGACGGCAAAGCAACTGTGAAGGAGGATACATTTTCAACTACAACAATCAGCGAGCCTAAATCAACCCTGAGTACATCAACCTTGAAATCAACAGAAACCTCAACAGAACGTGTCGACACAACTACTTCAACTAATGCAAAAGATACCAAAGGAGAATCGACTCAGTCCAAAGTTAAAAACACCCATTTGATCGTTGGAGTCTCGTCGTCAATTGTTGGAATTATATTAATTATGATAATCATAGGACTGGTAGTCAGAAAATGTAGTAAATCGTAAGTACTCCTCGGTTTAGATTTTAAGGACGGCGACTGGAGTTTTCTTTGTGCAATACATTTTTGGATACCCACTTTCACCAGACGATAGTTTTTTTTTTGTTCTTTGTTTATAGTTTAGAACAATGTCTGTTAAATTGTATGATACGTGAAAATGACAAGATAGGCTAAGACCCCTTTTTGGCCCCCGTTTCGGGGTGTCTTTTAGAGTGATGCAACAGTTTATTAGTTAAAAACCTGTTGTCACCCCTGCCACAAAATGAGTATTGGTTCTAAGTTATGGGATACACAGAGGTCACAGGAAGATTGGAAAATATGTCAATTTCCGAATTTTCTCATTTTTATGCAAATTTTCATCGATTTTACAGCACATTTTGGTTCAGAAAACATAGAGTACAAGATTGCCTATCTATCAAATGTATATATTTCATACAATTGTATCAGATGCATCTTATGTATAAAAATTTCAGAAAGGCAAGCTTGTGCTCTATGTTTCCCGAAGTGAAAAGTATCTCAAATTTCACAGAATTCTATCAGAATTGAGGAAATTCGTGAAAATATCCTACTTTTGCACCCTCTTGTGGCCTCCATGTAAGCCTTGAATCAAAATTAGTGCTGGTTTTAAAACAAGCATCATTTTAAGTTCTTAACTACAAACTATCACAATTTTAACTGTGTTCTGATTTTTACATCAAATAAGAGGCCAGATTCGGTCGTAACCATACCTTGTCCTTTACATTGAAGTCCAAAAACTAGCACTTTTCCATAAAACCTTCTAGTACATGAAACAATATTTTAAGATTGGTCCCTCAAAAATGCTTAGATTTTCCCTAAACTTGGCATGTATACTGAAGTCAATATACGTTACACAGGACATAAGATCAAAGAGCTTTCTGTTGTAGATTTCACATAATAAAACTACATTCGGCTCCCTTTAGAGATTGTACAAAGATTTTTTTTTTTTTTTTAAAGACATCTAGTATACATGATTTTAATAAAATGTATACCGTATATCTTTTCCAAAGTTAGAGATTAATTTCTTCCTTGTACTACTTTTGTCACTTTAAACTGACGTAAACAATTAACAGTTACCATTCAAATAAACATCTTTTACACAGACGATTGTGTCCATTTTTTAATCGGTAAATTCTTGACATAGATAAAATTCAGTCAAAGTTTTGTTTTATGTATTAAACAGGAATAAATGTCCAGAAAACCATCAGGAAGACATTGGACCAATCAGAAACTGGAGAGACCTCGTTTTGGCGGGAAATCAAAATCCAGGTTTTCAGTACAATGCCAATTCGTCCTTATCCTACAATGGAGATTCCTACGTTCCACACACACCTCTACATCATTTCAAATCAAGTGCAGGATCTCGTCATAATGCAAACGCCAGTAAATATCTAAGACACTGAATTTAACAATTCTTTCCTTTCTTTCGTGTACGGAGCTAGTATTTATCCTTTCAAATATACACTTGTAGAATACTCTGCATTCAAACTTGAATATTCTAATGATTATATACAGTGTTTGTTTAATGTTTTGTATAATGTAAGAAATATACTGTGTATTTTATTGTAAATGTCTAGAATAAAAAAAATTACTACTTTTAAAGAAGTCAGGTTTATTGATAAATTTCATGCACTCCCATGATTGTAAACATTTAAACATTTTAACATTCTACAAGTAATGAATATAAAATCGATAAGATTTAACATTGCAACTACCCTAGTTTATGTTAGCAGATTTTTTTTGAAAATGTACGGAATAATTTAGGTAGGTTCCAAAACAAATTTGCGAAACCCATAACTTTGGTCAGTAAAAATTTGGACTGATATTCCTGGTGGAATAGGATTATATTTAAATAGCAACAGCAGAAATTTAAATAAACACCAAGGATTTATAAGTTCATTTCTTACTTGAATTGGTCCTGGAAATATAAGGTACGAATTACCTTGTCACTTCACGAACATGTGGCTCTGTTCGCGCACCTGTTGTTTCGTGTGCAGTCCTTCTTACTGACTGCTGAAAAGGGCAGATGTATTTCTGTTAGAGATATACATTGATTACTTTGTCGGCCTAGCATACATTAAATGTAGTCCGAGGAGAACACGCTCGCTCAAGGAACTATTTGTGAGGTTCTTGTGGGGGACATATTAGGTTTTCAGCTGTTATACGCACTGATAGAAGTGTCCACTCTGGAGGGGGTTGTTGATAGTTTTTTTTAGGGAGAGTTACGCCTGGTCAACCACAGGTTGGACAATCTAAAACAAATGTCCTAGACTTGGCCTGTAACTGACTTTACACTTTTGGGCTCTCAGACAGGGCGTATGCTCCATAGTGAAAGTATGAGAGCCCATTAGTTAGGTGGCATTACAAAAATTAGTAAACCGCGTTCACCTTCAACTCCCAGGAAGCTAAGGTCAGCCAGCCAGTATCGTGCAGTTGCCAGGGGTGTTCATGGATCCCTCATTAACTATCAGGACAACGTCTGCATGTGGAAGAACCATTATGTAACGCACCCGGTTGGGGGGGGGGTCGTTACCTATTCCAAAGGGAAAGGGGGGGGGGGGTAATTTTCGCTAATTACAAATGTCTGGACTTTATGATGGCAATTACATGTTAATGTGAATTTTTCTAGGAAATCTTTAACAGTTGGGCTCGAAAGATAGGAATACATGAACAATAGCTGTAATACGGGAAATGACAAGCAATAACTGGCCAGACGTAACCTAACAATGATCTTTTTAATACATTTTGAAAGCTTGAATGTCACCATTTACAATGCCTATCGTTCCCTTATCATTTAAAACGGTAATTGTTCCCTTACCTTTAAACGTAATGGTCGCCCGCGTTGCGCAGTGGTTAGAACGTTTGCTCTAGAGTCGCGATGTAAGGAGTTCATCTTTACGCCGCGGGTCCGAATCAACTGCGGGACGTGGAGACCGGTCCTAGAAACCAAGGTTCCGGGTCGAAGTAGGTGCTGGCACGAAAAAGACCCCTCACTGCTCTATGGCCCTAAGTGCCGAGTATAGGTCGAAATTGCAGCCCTCCAACGGCAAATGGTGGCGCCTCCAATTCTCGTGATGGACACAACAAACAAATTGTAATGCAACCTGTGATCATTAGCCTCGTGCGTGCACAACGAGCAGGATTGAAGCAAGGAGGTGTCTTCTCTTTTCCGGGCCGTCTGCGAACAAGAGTACGTTTATCCATGCCCAATGCAACCTTACACTCGTCACTAAAGATAACTTTTTTCCCAGAGTTCATTTACAGTCTTCTGTCTATTGAGTTTTGTCAACTATTCTCATTGTACCGTTCACGGTAGCTCAGTCGGTAAAGCACTCGCTCCATGATCGGGAGGTCGTGAGTTCTAATTTCGGCCGCGGCTGACCGAAGTCGTTAAAACAATGGATAGCAACTGTTCCTTTGCCATGCGCTTGGCACTTTGAAGTGAAAGTTGCGCGTCCTTTGGATGAGACCCTAAAAACCGAGGCCCCGTGTCAAGGCAGGCGTTGGCACGGTAAAGATCCTTCACTGCTCAATGGCCCTTAATGCCGAGTAATGGTCAAAATATGAAGCCCTTCACCGGATATGGCGACGTCTCAATGCGAGTGAAAAATTCTCGAATTGGACGTAAAACAGCATACAATTAATCAATATTCTCATTGTTTCTGTACAAGTAATGGAGAAAAAATATCCTGACGGAATTGTCGTTCGAATGGGACATACAAAGGTGAGAAATATGTTGAAGTAATCTTTTTTTTTTTGAAGATTGTGTCAAAACTCGTGGGTCCCAACATTCATGTTTTGGTACTTGAGACCATGGTACATTTAACTTCAACTTTTCTGCGAATGCGCATAATAAGGAGTAAGAAGTAAAGCATTTTTTTCGTTCTCGGGAACAATGTCACCGTTGACACCATTTCTCGCAGCTTTTCAATGATTTGTAGCTTTAAAGACGCTGGATGACGGCACACTCCGTAAATCACATTTACATTTTGGTCAATTGTAATGCTATGTTCTCCTGGGAGAGGTCCTGTATTGCATATTAGATGTGGAGAATTACTACAAGCTTAATGAAATTTCCTTTGCAGTTGTAGCACCCGTTATGACGTTTTCCTGACACACTTACTGCTTCAAACTTTGCCTCTTGTAGGTGGCAAGTCGACACAGAATTCCGAACGAAATGTGTGGTTTTTGAACGCAGTATCTTCTGCGATTTCTGTTCTTTACCGTGCAAGTTTGTTTTATGAACTGTGACTTGACAATTATATTATATTTTGATCCAGTGTCTACACGGAATTCTAGAGGTTTGTCCTGAACATAGTGGAAGAGGTCATTTGTCTGACTTAGGAGTATCTGATTAATCGTCACTGGTAGAAAGAATATCTAACATGGCATCTTCATCCTTATCATTCACTTTCAGAAATAGATAAGCCCTCTTGCTTTAAGATCTGCTCTTAGATCTGATGCAATTCCTACAGACTGATCGCCAATTGTCTGGGTTCTTTAAATAATTGCAAGTGGTACCAGTGGTACCGACTGCTGTACATTTGGAGGGGTTGGCTTTCAGTCCACATCGTGCATAAGTGTTTCGTAAATTTTCGGTCCTCTGTTTTATCTTGTCCTGTTTTCTTGTTTCAGACTTTTTCTGTTTCACTCCAAGTTTGGAACTAGTATTTTCTCGGTTCCTCGGATTAAATTTCAGTTGTGAATGGAACAAGATGCAATCCTTGACCTTGATCAAGTAGTCGTTCTTGTACTTTATGTCCCACTCCTGCAATAATTGCAGCAATTAAAATGCCGATATATATGATTTTTCACCTGATAAAAATTAAAAAAAACGAAAGAAAATCTAAACTGAACAAAGGAGAAAGACACAAAAATACTCCTAACAGTTATTTGAGGGAAGGGGGGAGCACCAGCCCAGCATCTAAATGAAAATATTCACCCAAAGACTATTTACTCAAAAAAAAGTTGAGGGTGCCTTCTTCTCTTCCCGCGTCCTAGGGTTCGGAATTAGTAATTATACATTTAACTGTTTGGCAACAATTTTTATCATGGTCCCATCCACGCATCTAACAAAAGTTGAGAATGTTGCGATAGTATTAAATTAAACAACAAACAAACAAACAAAAACGACGAAAATAATGTAAAAAAAAATTGCTCCTAGGTAAAGATCATAGAAAAGTTAGAGATGATGATGATGAACCACAGTTGTTTGTATATGTCATGTGGATATATATAAATTCTACATGGGAAGTGTAGGTATATAAGAAAACCAACATATCTATTATGAAATCGGGTTCAGTTTTGCATTTTTACGACTTTGGTGAAGGTCAAATGGAAACAACAAGTTGTGCAGATGCTTCTGTGTGCATTTTTAACCTTCAATTTTGTGGAATGCACATTTAATGCAAATGATTCACGTACCTCATTCAGGCAGACCTGTGTGCATAGAAGGTCTGACACCCGGCCCACCGCTCTCTCTCTGCCGTATACTCTTCAACACAGACAAAGTGCCTCCAAGTGTACAAAACGACAATATGTACCGTCACATCCCCTTGCAAAATACCGGAGAGCAACCAATGCTTGGTTCAAGGGTGCAAGGGGGTTGTTCCGCTGGCTTTGATAAAGCAGTTGTTCTTAGAATAAGACCAACGATAAACATTTTTTCCACCTCAGCCTCATAAAGGGCTTCCATTGGATTGGAACGATCGTTCAGTCTACCGATAACTCTTCTTAAGATCTTGACAGCGACGTCGGCGCTGCAAAATCGTCTGGCAACAAATTTGATGAGTGATTCCACGTGAGATTTTATTTTAGGTGACTATTCACTTAGATTTCCTGCGAAGTGATCATTTGCACATTACGTAACCTACGATTCAATTAAATTCAATTTATTCCTACATTATGTAAAACAACAAGAAAATACAACAATATCATACAATATCATCAAAATACATGATGCGATAGTGTACAGTTTACATATCTGTAAGGATAACTCTCTTATTAATTATGTTCTATATAGATGAATTTATTAAGGTTATTGATTGTGGATACCTTTTTACATATAAATAAATTTTAAAGCTTAAAATCACTTATTTATGCCATTGGAAAATAAAATTTTCTAAAATCATTTTTAAGCTGGTCATGACATAATAATGTTATTCGTCTCCAATATCATTATTACATAAACTACGTAGTTTTTGAGTGGCGCAGTGGTTAGAGCGTCTGCTCTAGAGTCGCGGAGTAAGGAGTTGATCCTTACTTTGCGGGTTCGAATCCCACTGTGGGACGTGGAGACCGGTCCTTCGGATGAGACCGTATAAACCGAAGTTCCGTGTCGCAGTAGGTGCTGGCACGATAAAGATCCCTCACTGCCGAGTATAGGACAAAATTTGCAGCTCTCCACCGGCAAGTGGTGGCGTCTCCATATGGGTGAAAAATTCTCGAGAAGGACGTTAAACAACATACAAACAAAAAAACATAATCTTTGATGTGATGTTATGTTCCTCCATCGGCTTGTCTCGATTGGTAATTAATGATTACTAGGTCCAAATCTTGCTATGTAACTATAGTATTCATTGACACATTGGTGTTTAAATAGTTTCTAGATGTAAATTACTATT